TGTGATTATAATTTTTTTTTATGATTATTTTACAACCTTTTACATAAAGCACTTTGAATTGTCATTGTGTATGAAATGTGCTATATAAATAAACTTGCCTTGCCTTGCCTTAAAAAATATTATCTATAATATATTATATTATACCATTGCTTTTGCTTTGACTAAAATGGCAATCATTCACTGGACAAGTAGCAAACCTTTCTCTCTGTCCATTCTCTCTCCACTGGTATTGTGTGGTGTGTGCTGTGTTCTGTATTCATGCACAGCACACAAACAGCAGACTGGTCATATCTGCAGTAAAGCTCCAAGGGTCTTTCATGTATCCTGCAGATTCGCTTGTCCATCCGCTGTGGCTGCACCAGCGTGTGCTTGGTGAACCTGGAGGTGTGGGAAGTCACATGAACCTCACAGTATGACGCCACACACACCAGGCATGATTTTACAGCATGGGACGCTTTCTCCAATGTGCACATGTCACATAAAACGTTGTCTGATGCAACTGGACGATACTCTGACGACCTCTGACCCTTCTGCTTGCGGATTTGCTTGGCCATCTCATGGGCAAAAGAATTTTCGCGGAGCTCTGGTGTTTCCTGGAAAACTGTGGAGCATTTGGGGCAATGGGAAGAGCCAGATGCTGTCCACTGTGCAAGGATACATGACTGACAAAACGTATGGCCACATGGGAGGGACACAGGATGGGTGAAAACATCTAGACAAACTGAGCACTGGAACAACTCCTTAGACAGAAGTGGGGTTGAGGATGACATCACTAGGGTGGATAAACAGGGTAGAAAAACACAGTGATATCATAAATAATTGGATGTGTTTAGAAACCAGGACAAATAACAAGAGGAATCTAAACACAAATGGGGTGAAAGTTTTTACATGTGGCTGCTACCATACAAACACTGACTAAATGACTAAATCGCTAAAGTTAGCAGTCACTAAAATTACAGTTAATAGTGACAATATTTATTTCCACATTATAAACCCCTTTAAATTACATTCAGAAAGAATCTATGATTTTCTTTAAAATAAATACACAAACACACACTCACACCAACGTTCTTAACCATTTCAGAAAGAATATTTGGTGGAAAAGACTCATTCTGAACCACTGTACATCTCAAAAGAGTATATGATTATCCAAATTTACACATCAAAAATGCCTTTGTGGTGTTCAGAAAGTTGGCCCATCTAGTCATGACAAGGTAATAAGAAGGAACAGCATACAGACATAATTTACAGTGGGGACAGATGGAACATGTCCAATGGGACACGTTTTAATTATATCTGCGTGTTATAATGTGTGGTAATCCAGTGCTGAATTTGATATTATATGTCACAACTGTGGCAACTTGCTATTCAGCAAAATCAAAACACACACACACACACACACACGTTTACTTAGCTATCTAAATGGGGACATTCCATAGCCGTAATGGTTTTTATACTGTACAGACCGCATATTCTATCGACCACCAATCCTTCACCTAAACCTATCCTTTACAGGAAACTTTCTGCATTTTTACAATTTAAAAAAAACTTTGCTTACTTTATATAAGAAGGAACAGCATACAGACATAATTTACAGTGGGGACAGATGGAACATGTCCAATGGGACACGTTTTAATTATATCTGCGTGTTATAATGTGTGGTAATCCAGTGCTGAATTTGATATTATATGTCACAACTGTGGCAACTTGCTATTCAGCAAAATCAAAACACACACACACACACATGTTTACTTAGCTATCTAAATGGGGACATTCCATAGCCGTAATGGTTTTTATACTGTACAGACCGCATATTCTATCGACCACCAACCCTTCACCGAAACCTACCCTTTACAGGAAACTTTCTGCATTTTTACAATTTAAAAAAAACTTTGCTTACTTTATTTTTATACCAGTTTTACAAATGAGGATTGTCCCAAAGGGAGGTTTTTGGAGATTTTGTCAGGTTTAGCTCACTTTTGGGTACAAATTTGTCCCCAAAATACGGTTAAGTAGGTACACACACACACACACACACGCACACACACACAAATGTTTCCGATAAATATCCACAGATGTATATGCATTTGGTTTATTAAACCAAATAGTTATATAAGGGCAGATTGTTACCTGGAAACCTATGTATAATATTAATTTGTATAATTCTATTTAGTGTACTTTAAATCTTAAATGTGTATATTGTACTTGCAGATAATATTAATGAAATAAAAGACCCCTTAAGTGAAACACTTTCGTGTTTCTTAAAAAAAAACGTATGTACACTTTTAAAAAGTGCACTTTATAATAATAATGTCAAATTAAAAAGTTTTACTTTGCAGTACATTTTGTTTCATAATTTTCAATGATCTTGTTTTAAAGATCATGTTGTGTTGTTGACTAATATATTAAAGCACATTAAATTGTAACTGATTATAATTTTAACGGTAGTGTCTTATTCTTAAATTTAAAGTTACTAAAATACTAAATTACAACCTTACTACAAATGTTTAATTTCAAATACTGTATATTTCAATATATATCATACGTGCTTCAATAAAAATGACAAGTATATTTTAGTTGATCATATGTAAAACCAAAGACAACTGTACAAAAATGTTAAATTAATTTTAAATAACATGCAATTAAGTGTCCGAAATCGTTACATTAATTTGGGAATAAGTATATTCTTTTAATGTATATTTTGTCCGTAATAAGGACTCTTTTGCAAAGGAGAATTTGCACAAAGCATTGTATGAATATACTAAACAAACCGCATCAAAAAAGCTTTTGAGACTGGCTCATGATGTGGGTGTGTTCTGTCTTTTGTTCATTTATGCATTTGTTAGAAATAAAGAAAAAAAATATCTATGAACATCTTGTGAATTCTGCTTTCATTAGTGTTTCATGTTTACAGTTTCATCTTGTTGTCTTATCACTAAACATTCCCCAAAAGGTCAAAGTCTAGTAAAGGCAGGTAAGCACTATATTCGTGTAGTGCCCAAGAAATAATTTACACTTGTTAATTTCATTGGGTATCTATAGGTAAATCATGAGTAAATTAAGATTTCTCAAGTAGCCATGCCCTGTAATAAACATTTGTAACACAACTCTTACCTGTCAGAAAAGGTGTTTCAGTCAGGAAGCAGAAAAGCAATGTTTTCGCCAGCAGCTGAATGACAATTGTAAGTGATTGTGAGGTTTAACCCCACCTCTTTTGGCAGGGATGGGATCCTGCTCCATGGAACTGTTGAGTTAACCCTTTCAGTAACAATAAAGGAAGGCAGAAAAGGTGTGTATATCTTAAAATAAGGTATTTGAGCTTGAGATTACCTTACTCACACTCTCTCTTATTCAGTGGCAGAACAATATAAGGCTCTGTCTTATTATCTGTCCATCACATTTTGAAGCACACAAGATAATATTAAAGTAAATAATGCTTCTACTTGCAATACTCAAAAAAAAAACATGTTGCCATGTATATATATATATATATATATATATATATATATATATATATATATATATATATATATATATATATATA